GGTTCACCTGGCCCTGGCAGTCAGGGCCCATGGCTAAAGACCTAATAAGAGGACTCAAGTTCAACTCCCATTTTCAGAGTCCATTTGACCCATGAAAATACGTTTCCCATATTAATCCCTGGAGAGCAAGCCTTGCAGAGAGCTTTTTGCTCCCCAAGATGGTGGCAACCAGGACAGGCCTTCAAGACTCTGCAGCTCAGCAAACATCCACCAGAAAGGGAGATTTTAAACTTTGCTCTGACTCCCACACTCTCCTGCAGTCATCTTTACTTGGCTCAAGGAGGGAAGCAGCCCACCTCTACCTCCTCACTCAATGAGAGGAAAAGGAAAACACACATGCCATGCTTTTCACTAGAAATCCCTTACTATCAATCCCAAACTACATCTTTATATATACTTTTTCTTTTTTTCTTTTTTTTTCTTTTTAGTAGAGATGGGGTTTCTCCATGTTGGTCAGGCTGGTCTCGAACTCCTGACCTCAGGTGAACCACCCACCTCAGCCTCCCTAAGTGCTGGGATTACAGGCGTGAGCCACCACGCCTGGCTCTCTGTCTATACTTCTATGTGTATCTGTCCGTTGTTTTGGCCAACTTTTAATCAGTCCTGCCTGGATGGTAAGCTGCAGCTCTCTTTAGATGACTTTGGTCAGCAGCAGAAATTTTCAAACAGAAGCATTTCAACTTAACTTTCTGCTGTTTACTCACTCATTCATTCATTCATTTATTCATTCATATTATTCAGCAAACATTTATCCAATGTGTACTATATGCCCAAGACTGTGCCAAGGTGCACCCAGTAAGAAGCAAAACTGATGTCTGCCCTTTCCTAGATACACTGAGTGAATCCGCCGACTGCTGGCTGCTTTAAACCTTTCAAGAACATCCAAATTTGATGAACCCAATATCCCTATCGACTAGAACTCTGTTACTCTGTCACTGGTGCATGACCACAAAGACAGTTATGACTTCATGTTTGTAATAATGATCTCCAGCGCTGCAAGATCCTAAAGTGCCTTTGACTCATCACCAATAACTTACTCATCAGAACTGCTTTAGCATTGAGTAGATTTTGCTGATATCTGATTGTTCAGCAAGTACAAACTTAATTAAGCTTCTATTTTAATATGAGATACATGCTCTAAGATCACGAAAGAGTTCCCAATAAACAGAATATTTGCTAGATCATCTCCCATTATTTGAGGAAACCGGATCTAGAACGTTTTCTTGTTTGTTTATAAAGTAGTTCATGTGTACATTTGTGTGTGTGTGTGTTTGTAAATTCTTCCTTTCTTGGTGAATTTTCTTTTGTTAGATTGAATTTTCCTGGTATTTTCCTTTGTATCCAGAAAATAGAAGTACTCACTTTTCTGGCTTAAATGGAGAATTCATTGAAAGATTTAACTTGATTTTTAAAATGCAAAGTCTTATGTTTTTAAAACACTGTTCCTGTTCTTGGCACTGCCAATCAAAAACATTCAACTTAGAATATCTGACTTGTTCCTGAAGTGGGATTCTATGCATTTTGATTTTGTGAGAATTTTAAAAATCTAATTAAACCTCAGTGTAGATAAAAAGTTTTGATCTCATACAGAGAAAAACACCGGAGGATCTTTACTGTTGCCAAGTTACACTTAAAGTTTTGTATTCTAACCCCAGTTCTCTGATGTAATATATAAATTGTGTTAACCTTATAAATATTACTTTTCAAGACTGAAGAACCTCTCCCTTCTTCCTTTATTATATCTAATTTTCCTACAAGCACAGAGTCCGAGTGTTGGCAGATAATAATATTTTAAAGGGCATCAAAGCATAAGAATAACTACATACTTGCAGATGTATTATGAAATATACACCATTAGTCACTCTATATTTGAAAGGCGGAAAAACAGGCACCTAGCAACAGCATGCCGTCACTCAGGATTAAAGAAAAGCCAGTTTACATCCAGGAGCTATTACCCCCTCATTTGGGAGCTGTCAAGCTAGTACATTTAATTACACAAAAGATCCTCACCCAGAGACTTGGCTGTTGATTGTCTGTATTCATGGTAAATGACAGTAATGACATCACCAAAGGATGCCTTTCGGTGGTGGAAGAGACAGGAGATAGAGCCTAGTAGGAGCTCTCCAGACAGGCTTGTCAGCCAGTCCTGTGCAGAGAGACCCAAGGCTCTACCTGAGAACTGTGCTTTCTCTTCCGGAAAGCCATTCATCCTGCCTTCTCTTCCCTCTGAGTGGATTACTGGGTGGGTGGGGCAGAGGGTTGCCTTCCCAGAAGCCAAAAATAAGGATCCAGCACTGTTCAGAAGCAACCTTCCCCCAACCAGACATGGGGGAAAGCATCAGACGTTGAGCTCTTATTAGACCCAATCAGATGGAATTTTCAGAAGGTTCTTTTCTCACACTTGTTAGGTTGGGTAAAAAGTAACAGGAATCAAAGGAGATGAAGAGAAATTTTTTAAAAATCCAAACCTAACATTAGGGTGGGGAGAGATTCCTTGTGGAATCTCTATGGGTGTTTGCACCTGGGCCAGACAACGTAGGGATCTCCAAGGCCACTCTGCAGACATCCCTAAGACCCTGTGGCAAAGACCAGGGTTTGGACGGAGCATGTACAGCTCAGTCCTCAAGCAGCTCCCTTCAGGGAGGGGAGCTCAGCACCCGGGGAATGTCCCAGAAGAAAGATGCTCCCTCTGTGTCCTAGAGACTTGGGCGCAGGCAGAAACTCATATATGATCAGGTTGATCTCTTGCTTCCAGTTTGAGCCTAGGTTGGGTAAGTAGAGCCGTGTCAAGAAGAGCAGTGGTGGAGATTTGCACGCATGGGGAAGGCAGGGCTGGAGGCAAGATGAACTTTCCCTCTCTTCTAAAAAACTGAAAAATAAAAATAAGAAAGAGGAAGGAAGAAGAGAGAAAGGGAAAAAGAGAGGAACCAAAAAAATAGTATCCATTTGAAACAGATTTTTTCTTTTTTTTTTTTTTTTTGAGACGGAGTTTCGCTCTTGTTACCCAGGCTGGAGTGCAATGGCGCGATCTCGGCTCACCACAACCTCCCCCTCCTGGGTTCAGGCAATTCTCCTGCCTCAGCCTCCTCAGTAGCTGGGATTACAGGCACGCGCCACCATGCTCAGCTAATTTTTTGCACCATTAGTAGAGACGGGGTTTCACCATGTTGACCAGGATGGTCTCGATCTCTTGACCTCGTGATCCACCCGCCTCGGCCTCCCAAAGTGCTGGGATTACAGGCTTGAGCCACCGCGCCCGGCCGATTTTTTCTTTTTGAAATGGAGTCTCACTCTGTCACCCAGGCTGGAGTGCAGTGGCATGATCTCAGCTCACTGTAACCTCCACCTCCCAGGTTCAAGCGATTCTCCTGTCTCAGCCTCCTGAGTAGCTGGGATTACAGGCACATGCCACCATGCCCAGCTAATTTTTATATTTTTAGTAGAGACAGGGTTTCACCATGTTGGCCAGGATGGTCTTGATCTCTTGACCTCATGATTGGCCCACCGCGGCTTCCCAAAGTTCTGGGATTACAGGCGTGAGCCACCATGCCCGGCCCTGAAATAGATGGTTTTAATGATTATATTGCAATGTCATTCACAACATTGTGAATGCAATTAATACCACTAAAAATAGTTAAAATGGCAAGTTGTATGTTATGTAACAATTTCAAATGATGTAATATGTCAAAAATCACAGTGTACATTTTAAATGAATGAATTGTATGGTATCTGAATTTATATCTCAATAGAGCTATTTTTAGAAGGTGGTATTCACAAGCATGTGTGTGCACACCTGTGTTGCAGTACATTTGCACACACACGCGTGTGTGATAGGGGTGTCAGTTTCCTAGCTAATCTACTTTGGGTGGAAACTGTCAAAGTGAGGACTAGGCAAAGGCGGAGAAGAGAAATGTAACCTGTCTGTCCATTGTTCATAGCTGCCCTGGAGGAAGAGAGAAAGAAGTATGACAAATGCTAAAATGATATAATATTACAAGCTTCACATATTTTTATAAGGAATAGTATTCTCTACCACAAATTCCACACCTGGTTTCCCTTTCTCAACGTGCATTGTTTACAAAGTCAGGCTCATGAAGGGTGTGGCATGAATGATCAAGCTGAAGCTCCTCTTTTCCCCTTGAAATACACGCTTGTGCTCGGGAATGCAGCATGTCTCTTTCAATTATACCTTGGCTCCAGAGTCCCTTTTCCTGGAATTACACCTCCAATGTCAAGAGGGTGTGGTACGGTGGAGATGATACTGGGTCAGGTCAAAGACCTGCCTCCCTGCCTAGGAGACCTTGAGCAGTTATTGCCTGGACTTCTTTGACCATAAAATGCAGATGATGATGCCTCCCTTGCCTTCTCCCTTGCCTTCTCCCTGGAGTAGTGTGCAAAGCAAAATCCAAACAGGATAGCATGTGAAAGCGTTCAGTAAACTGTGAATCACTGCCTTAGTGGAAACTCTTCTGGAGGCACGTAATAGAAACCCAATCAAGTAAGCAAAAAGGAAGACACTGAGTTGAAAGGAGACTGGGAACCTTTTGGAAACTATGCAGGATGTGAGGCTGGATCCAGAACCCGGGTCTGGAGAGCGGGACATGCAGGCAGCTCACTCCCGTGCTTTCTCGGTGCTTGTCTGTCTCTTTTCCTTTCTGTTTCTCTCTCCAGAGTGGTTTTCATTGTTCTGGCTTGCAGGGCCAAGCAGGGATGCCCCATGCCTCCTGTGACTACACAGCCATTCAAGCCATGAACCCAGATGCCTACGCCAGGTCCTAATTCAGTTGGTTCAGCCTGGGCTAGGAGTGGACTTGTGATGTCCAGTGAGTCATGAATGTGGCCAGGGGTCACATAGAATAAACTTGACCATTCCTTGTCCATCCCTGTGGGTGTGAGCGGGGCACATACCAGGAGAGGTGCCTTCTACAAACATTTGGCAACATCTAGTGGTTTGAATGCAACAGTCAGTGGAAGAGGAAGATTCGATTTTGAGGACCTCATTTCCTGGTGTCCCCATCTTTGCTGCCTTCTGTGAGTTTGATCATGTGGACTCCGTGGAGTTTGGCCACTGCTGGGCAGTGCAGCCAAACAAAGTGAGCAAAAGTAGGCTGGAGGGCCCTGTGGGTGAGTGGGGCCAGGCTGGCTGTGGTGTCCCAGGAGCCCTGGAGCCCCTTGCGGCTCTTCTGAAATGGTGAGTGGGCTGCTGTTCTTCTTGTGTCAAGCTGTCCATGTCGCCCTTCTCACAAAATGTATTGCCAGTGAGAGTGGGCACAAGTCATAGAAACTCGTTTCAAGCTAGCTTACACAAAAAGGAGACCATTTGGGGGCTGCTTTTCCAGATCCCTGTCCTTTCTCTCCTGCTACCCTTTGAGCTGTTCCACTGTTTCCAGCTCTCTGGAGACAGGCATGGTGAGGTCTGCATTGATCTCCCCCCATGAAATGAAGGGGAAGATGCTGAATTAGTGGCTGCTGATTTTTCCCCCTTCTTTTTTTCTATCACTGCCTGTGGTCTGCAATTACCCATTCCCCTCTTGGCCTTCAGAGCTGTGCGAGGGTGAGCAGGTGTTGAGAGCAACTTTGTTCTTTTTGAGTCAGCCTCATTACATGGAGAGGATCCAACTCTCTCCGTGTAGCTGGCAGCTCCCAAGGCCAGACCACTGGGCAGGGCTCCCAAGAGCAGTGCTAGCCTCTTTGGTCTCACAAAGGGCCACGCCAGACCTGCTCATCTTTCCCCAAGAGCAAACTGCTTTTTGAGCAGATGTATGAACAACTGGCTGCCTCTGATAGACTGCAGTTCTCTAAGGTTGCTGCTCTACCAACCTTGCAGAAAAGTTACAAAAAAAAAAAAAAAAAAAAAAAAAAGCTCCAAACTGAGGCCTCTCAATTCTCTGCCATCTTTCAGAGTTTCCTGCATTCTCACAGGTGGGCCAGCAACTAACCATGGGCCAGTCCCCCGCACGATAGAAGATGCTGGTTATGGGATGTACAGGTGGAAGAGTGAAGGGAGCCATGCAGAAGGCCCAGCCCTTTTCCTTGCCCAGAACTTAACTGGGCAAACACATAGCAGATCCCTGCAGTATTTAACCCTTAAGGATTAGCCCTTTAAGAAGATACAAAGGTAAACAAGTACCTGGTTACATTCAGGCTCGTTGTCGCAGAATAATAGCTAGCATCTTTTCCTGGCACCATTCTAATCAGTTTACATTTGTCAATTCACACAGCAAATAAGTGACAGAGCCAGGATTTGAACCCAGAGAGTCACTACACAAACTTCCTCCCACATCATCAGCCTCTCACAATGCAAACAAAACACTGACACAGAATGCAGTCAGTCTTCGCTCTTGTGTCCTTGTGATAATTTGCATGATTGAAAGATACCATGAGGAAGAAGAAATGTTTTAAATATCTAGCCACTGGAAAAGCAAGGTTTAGAGGCTACAAATTTCATGACCCATCCAAAGCTCAGCAGACAGTTTGCAGTTCTGCCAACTTCCCACAAGAGGAAAACTGGCTGTTCTCGCTGCTGTTAATGGAGAAGGACCGTGACCTTGATGTACAGGTGGTAAGAGGGCAGGGTATTATTCAAGCCATGTGATCTGATGGGGGGTGCTGGAAAATGAACAAAGGTGTGAATTATTCCACAGCTGCTCACCCTGACATTTATTGTGACTTTAAAATCTGTGAACATATGGTAACGGCTGGAAGCACGAAATAGCAGTTGGAAACGTGTAGACTTAAGGAAAAACCAGCCACCCTTATACCTCCCCACTTGGCTTCTCTGTAGAATGCTGTTGTCTTGCTAGCCTTTTTCACTCCCAAATCTGAAGAAAGCCCAGGAACAAACGTCCCCTTTTCTTCAACCCGTCTCCCCATGCTTTTTCCCCTCCTATAACAGAAGTTAGTGTTTTGGTTCTTGGCTACGGTATTTGTATGTATCATGCCCTTCCACAGTTTCTGCTGGATCTTGTTAAATTCCACATCTTTGTTTTACAAGGCTGGATAGAGAGCTGGAAACATTGGATGACATTTTGTTTAGGAATCCATGGTGGTCCTTGGAAATTCAGGCCAAAGGCTGCTGCTTTTGCCAGTTGAGGGAGCCCCACTGTGTGGCCAGGAAACACCACCACTCCCCTGCCCCCAGTTACACCCCTGGTCATCCTGCAAGCCCCACATCTTCCGCCTCCTCTTGAAATCCTCTGGGAGCTTCCTAGTGGCAAGGACCGCCCCCTTCTCTGTGCCTGGGGCTGATTTCCACTTAGTCTGGCTAACTGTCTAGTTTTCATGTTTTGTGTTGCTCTAATTGTAAGATTCTGAAGGTTCAGAAGCATGTTTTCTTTGTCTATCCCCTGCCTCACTGCATTGACAAGTAGTAGGCAGGTGCCTCCTCTGTCAACACACACCAGACAGCAACTTCTTACCTAAACACATCTCTCTGGAAAGCCCCATACAGAGAGTGCTAGCTTCCTACCCGATATCCACCCTCACCTTCTCTCTTAGAGAGCCCCAATGTTATCCTGGTTAGCACGTACCCAGTGAAAAGATGAGTTCTCTTACAGAAGATGAAAGCAGAAGGTGTTGGGTGGAACTTTTAGGAAAGTCTTGTTTGCCATTCCATCCTTCCTGATTCCTGTTGTTTGAGATACGGTTCCAATGGCTGGAACTGCAACAGACATATTAAGGTTATGAAGAAAAGACTAAAAGAATCACTCATGGCTGTATTCCCAGCACTTTGGGAGGCCAAAGCGGGCCGATCATGAGGTCAAGAGATTGAGGCTATCCTGGCCAACATGGTGAAACTCCGTCTCTACTGAAAATGCAAAAATTGGCTAGGTGTGGTGGCTCACGCCTGTAATCCCAGCATTTTGGGAGGCCAAAATGGGCAGATGACGAGGTCAAGAGTTCGAGACCAGGCTGACCAACATGGTGAAATCCTGTCTCTACTAAAAATACACAAATTAGCTGGGTATGGGGGTGCACACCTAGAATCCCCAGCTACTCAGGAGGCTGAGGCAGGAGAATCACTTCAACCCAGGAGGTGAAGGTTGCAGTGAGCCAAGATTGTGCCACTCACTCCAGCCTGGGCGACAGAGTGGGACTCCATCTTAAATAAATAAATATACAAAAATTAGCAGGGCATGATGGTGCTCGCCTGCAGTCTCAGCTACTCAGGAGGCTGAGGCAGGAGAATCCCTTGAACCCGGAAGGTGGAGGTTGCAGTGAGCCAAGATCGTGCCACTGCACTCCAGCCTGGGCAACAGAGTGAGACTCCATCTCAAAAAAAAAACAAAAACAAAAACAAAAATCACAAATACCTGTCCCTGATTTTCTCAGCTGCCAAACCAATGCCAGTAATTACCTATGTCTGCATTTCTCATGACGTGACGAGCACCTTCATGCATTTACGCAGTTCTCTGTTGCCAGCATCTGAAAGCAATTCCTCACTGATGATACACTATGTTTGAGAGAGAGAGAGAGAGAGAGAGAGCAGTTCAGTGATTATTCACAGGCTTGAGTAACAGGGAACTGAGCTCTTATGAAGCCACAGTGCTCAGAAGTTCTTCCTCTGCTGACAAGCCCTAGAGCCAATCTTCTCTGAGTGAAGTGAGATTCTTTTCCGTGTTCCCAAATATAACTTCTTCAGTGAAAGTGAAACACGAAAGCCACCAGGCTCCCTCCCTAGGAGCAGTTTTAGGAAAGCAAGTCATCATCTCCCTTTGATGTGTGGTCACCTGCCAAAGCGTTGCTGATACCAAAGCCCACGAGCTCTGCGTCGAAGTTTCCCAACATCTGGCAGCTGAGCTGCTACTTGCTTTTTTAAGCACAAGTAAAACCAAGCATTCAAATGTTCCCAATTTAGCCTCATAAGCGTTATGCTGGGCTCCTCTACCTTGGCCCCCAGCTGCCAGCAATTCAAAGCTCTCTCTTACCCAGATATGTTCTGTTTTTTCAGTGCGTGCATTCCCTTCCTCCCCAACTGTGATGAAGTCACACTGGAGGAATTTTTCTAGTGGCAGCCACTCTTGTGTCTTACCAAGGTTAGGTGTCCGAAAGGTTTCTCTGGGACTGGGGCGGAGGTAGGAGTGTCTCAAAAGGTGGCCCTTGTGAAGAGCCAGTTTCGCTCTGTAGCCAGGCCCTCATTGCAAGCAGCCAGTTTAGCTTGTAGTGGTGCCATGGAAGGGGTGGTATAGTGTTGCTGGGGAAAGCTAACCCCGTCTTCTTTCTACTGCACACCTGGGCAGGGTGAGAAGCTGGTTGATGGGAGGCTGAACTCTAGAGCCAATAAACTCTGTTGTCAAAGGGTAAGCATCCCATTTTGTGAGCCCCTTCCTCTCTTGCTGATACTGTGCAGGACCTGAGAGCTCCCAGGCTGCCTGCTCCCTCCCTCTTTTTTTCTCCTGTCATGGCCCAGTTTCGTGCTGCCTTGAGACGGAGACTGGAGAGCAGTGGTGTGATCTCAGCTCACTGCAACCTCCACCTCCCAAGTTTAAGTGATTCTCCTGCCTCAGCCTCCAGAGTAAATGGGACTACAGGCACCCGCCACCATGCCCAGCTAAGTTTTGTATTTTCAGTAGAGACAGGGTTTCACCATGTTGGCCAGGCTGGTCTTGAACTCCTAACCTCAAGTAATCTGCCTGCCTCAGCCTCCCAAAGTGCTGGAATTACAGGTGTGAGCCACCACACCCAGCCCCATTTTACCTTCTAATTCAAAGTATGGGCAAACCGAAGTCCATGGCAGGTTGAAGACCTGCCTCAAGTCATATTGCTAGTTAGTGGCCCAGATTTTAGCCCTCACCCTAAACCAGCTTGCCTGTCACAATAATACGTTAGGAATAGATTAAAGCTGATTCTTAAATAGCATTTACTCTGTGCAGGGCACCATTCTAATGTATATATAAAATCTTTCCCAAGTTATGCATGAAGAATATCAGGCACAGAAAGTTTAAATAAGTTGCCCAAAGTCTCAGATAGTAAGCGGCAGAGTTGGGATTTGATCCCACACAGTCCGGCCCTGCTCTTGATCACTGCTATACCGATACACTAATACCCATTCTTTGACTTGTTTACATCAGGTCCAGATGAGAGATCTCTTAAAAAACTCCTTGGTCAGAGGAATACTGGCTTAATATCTTACCCCTGCAGGAGCATTTCCCAAAAATATGATAGCGACAGGTGTTAAACAAACTAACCAAAACTAAATGCTATGACCAAATAAATTTGCAGTTACATTAAAACAAGTTAAATAGATTTTATATTACAGAACTTCGCAGAGCCTTTAATATGCTAATAGACATTATAAATTTTCTAAGAGAGTCTGAAACATTTCCCAAACTTTTGGGACCCTAGAAGCCTTTCTGATGCAGTGATATCATGACATTTCATGTGCACCATGGAAAACTCAATTGAGTAAAAAAGGCAAAGTATGTATTATTATTACAAAAAGAGTTTTGACTTCGAGAATTTCCTAAGATGGGTTCAAGAGCCAGGCATGGTAGCTCACATCTGTAATCCCAACACTTTGGGAGGCTGAGGCAGAAGGATCCCTTGAGCCCAGGAATTCAAGACCAGCCTGGGCAACTTAGGAAAACCCCCATCTCTATATTTTTTAGAAGTTTTTTTTTTTTTTTAAAGAAAAAAAAAAAGTAAGATGAGTTCAAGCACCCCTTGTGTTCCATGATCCACACTTTGAGAATTGCTATTCTAGAAAATACTATTTATGTATTTTTTTATTTTTTATTTTATTTATTTATTTTTTTTTTTAAATTTTTTTTATTGCATTTTAGGTTTTGGGGTACATGTGAAGAACATGCAAGATTGTTGCATAGGTATACACATGGCAGTGTCATTTGCTGCCTTCCTCCCTATCACCTATATTTGGCATTTCTCCCCATGCTGCCTCTCCCCAACTCCCCACCCCCCACTGTCCCTCCCCTGTTTCCCCCCGACAGACCCCAGTGTGTGATGCTTCCCTCCCTGTGTCCCTGTGTTCTCATTGTTCAACACTCACCTATGAGTGAGAACATGCGGTGTTTGATTTTCTGTTCTTGTGTCAGTTTGCTGAGAATGATGGTTTCCAGGTTCATCCATGTCCCTACAAAGGACACAAACTTATCAATTTTGATGGCTGCATAGTATTTCATGGTGTATATGTGCCACATTTTCCCTGTCCAGTCTATCATTGATGGGCATTTGGGTTGGTTCCAGGTCTTTGCTATTGTAAACTGTGCTGCAGTGAACATTTGTGTGCATGTGTCCTTATAGTAGAACGATTTGTAATCCTTTGGATACACACCCAGTAATGGGATTGCTGGGTCAAATGGAATTTCTATTTCTAGGTCCTTGAGGAATCACCATACTGTCTTCCACAATGGTGCAACTAATTTACACTCCCACCAACAGTGCGAAAGTGTTCCTATTTCTCCACATCCTCTCCAGCATCTGTTGTCTCCAGATTTTTTAATGATCGCCATTCTAACTGGTGTGAGATAGTATCTCAATGTAGTTTTGATTTGCATTTCTCTAATGACCAGTGATGATAAGCATTTTTTCATATGTTTGTTGGCCTCATGTATGTCTTCTTTTGTAAAGTGTCTGTTCATATCCTTCGCCCACTTTTGAATGGGCTTGTTCGTTTTTTTCTTGTAAATCTGTTTTAGTTCTTTGTAGATTCTGGATATTAGCCCTTTGTCTGATGGGTAGACTGGAAAAAATTTTCCCATTCCGTTGGTTGCCAATTCACTCTAATGACTGTTTCGTTTGCTGTACAGAAGCTCTGGAGTTTGATTAGGTCCCGTTTGTCTATTTTGGCTTTTGTTGCCAATGCTTTTAGTGTTTTGGTCATGAAGTCCTTGCCTATGCCTAAGTCCTGAATGGTTTTGCCTAGATTTTCTTCTAGGGTTTTTATGGTGTTAGGTCTTATGTTTAAGTCTTTAATCCATCTGGAGTTAATTTTAGTGTAAGGTGTAGGAAGGGGTCCAGTTTCTGCTTTCTGCACATGGCTAGCCAGTTTTCCCAATGCCAGAAAATACTATTTAAAAAATAAGACTCAAAGCTTATCTTTAAGGGAGGCTAAATACCATATCACCCTGCCCGGTGCATAGGATGAAGGAGAAAAGTGAATGAAAGAATATGGATGTGTGTTTTAAAAATTAGTCCCCTTTCATTTTACACTCTATGTCCATATAAATAAAAAGTAAAAATAATATGACTGGGCGTGGTGGCTCACACCCGCAATCCCAGCACTTTGGAGGACTGAGGTACATGGATCACGAGGTCGGGAGATCGAGACCAGCCTGGCTAACATGGTGAAACCTCATCTCTAGTAAAAATACAAAAACTAGCCAGGTGTGGTGGCGCACATCTGTAGTCCCAGCTACCCGGGAGGCTGAGGCAGGAGAATCGCTTGAACCCGGGAGGCGGAGGTTGCGGTGAACCGAGATTGTGGCACTGCACTCCAGACTGGCAACAGAGTGAGACTCTGCCTCAAAAAAATAAAGCATAAAAATCACTCCCCATCCTACTAGTTCTTTCTTTTCTCTTTCCTTTTTTATTCCCTTTCTTCCTTTTTCTTTTTCATTTAAAAATGTCTTGCTGCTCCATAAAGATTTAAGGTAGCTTAATCTTCCAGTGGGTCAATGTTCCTGTTGACAAAGACATATTTAAGTAAAGTGCCATTAATTTAGGGAACTCCTAACCCTTCACTCTACCCTAAAAACTTCTTCCCTACGACCATCCTACAGGTCAACCTAAAATTTCTGTCATTAGCGTTTTGTTTATTGAGGTAAGCATGTCTTTCTAGAAAGAGGCCTTGAGTTAAGACGCAGTTTCCTTATGTGGCTAGGTGTGAACACACGTGGCTACCACCACATGGGAATGTGTCTCTCAGATTAAGGCCCTCATCTAGGAAGAGACCCCTCAGGACAGGGACTTAGGATGGGGAAGTACCATAGGGGTACTTGCATGTGGGCCTAGAAAGTGAGGGGCCCTGGTAAGAAGTCACTCTTTCCTTTTTAGGGAGATGTCCAAAGATACATTTTATTTCTTTAACATGTTTGCTTTTTTTTTTTGTTTGTTTTGTTTTTGAGACAAAGTCTTATTCTGTCGCCCAGGCTGGAGTACAGTGGCACAGTCTCCAAGCACTGCAACCTCTGCCTCCTGGGTTCAAGTGATTCTCTTGCCTCAGCCTCCCAAGTAGCTGGGACTACAGGCATGCACCACCATGCCTGGCTCATTTTTGCTGTGCTAAAGTAGAAACAGGATTTTGCTATGTTGAGCAGTCTGGTCTTAAACTCCTGGCCTCAGGCAATCCACCAGCCTCAGCCTCCCGAAGTGCTGGGGTTACAGGCATGAGTCACCTCACCGGGCCTCTTTAACAGTTTTATGTAGGGCCTGACCTTATCCGAGGCCATTTTGCAGGTCTTTGACCGTATCACAAACCTCATGCCAAGGCTAATGTAGCATCTGCGTACTGCACCTGAATGTGACAACCCAGACCAGGTGGGGAAAATGAAATCTAGTTCAGGTTGGGTGGCCCAAAGTCCTTCAGGCTGGGTGGCTTCTTTGTTATTACAGCAGCCGGCAGCAAGGTAACACAGGCCTTGGCTCACAAGGCAGGTAGACCACACAAGATGCTGCGGTCAACACCATTGAGGCAAGAGAGAATCACGGACTGGAGGGGACGGGAAGGGCCCTCTCCCCTGAGAACCTCACCTTCTCCCATGCTTCTTTGTCTGTTCTGTCTTCACAGGTTTGGGGGCTCCTGCTATCTGCAATTGGGAAGTGGAGAGGATGTGGCTACAGGTGATGCTAACCCCAAATCCTTGGGCTCTCTCACACGTGCCTGCGTTATGCACCGTATGCTGGATTTCAGTTCCACCTGTATGCCAGGTGAGTCTTTGGGTGTTTGGCTGAATGATCTTTTAAGGTTGATGTTCCCCTTATCAAAGCTACCCATCCAGCTAAGTGTTTTCTGATTAACAAAACAGGCTGGGTGCAGTGGCTCAGGCCCGTAATCGCAGCACTTTGCGGGGGTCAAGGCAGGTGGATCACCTGAGATCAGGAGTTCAAAACTAGCCTGGCCAACATGGTGAAACCCCCATCTCTACTTAGAGTGCAAAAATTAGCTGGGTATGGTGGTGGGTGCCTGTAGTCCCAGCTACTCAGGAGTCTGAGACAGGAAAACCACTTAAACTCAGGAGGCGGAGGTTGCAGTGAGCCAAGATCATGCCACTGCACTCCAGCCTGGGCGACAGAAAGAGACTCTGTCAAACAAAAACAAAAAAACAAATTTATTAGAAGTTTTTATACACATGTTAGTAACACATGCTGATTATAGAAAGTTGAGAAAATACAGGTAAGAGAATGGAAAAATCATCATAATCCTTTCACCCAGAGATAACCACAGCCAACTTTGATGCTGCCCATCCTTCCCACCTCTAGCTCTCACTGCATATTCTGATGATGGGATTCACGTGTGGTCCAAGCATCACACTGCCCCACCCCTCAGACACTCATCTGCAGCCATGACTGACTTAGGGGAAGGGGCCAGTTTTTCTGTTGGGCTTCTTGGGCCTGGAGGGTAAAGGCAGAGGTTGACGGAAAGCCTGGCCCCCTCTTCATTGCAAGGCTGAGTCTGACCTGGCAGAGAGGAACAGGCTCCACAGCTCTGGGCAGAATCCACTGCTGCTCCCACATGGGGATGGCCTGGGGAACTGCAGCCCCACTCTAGTGTGTGAAGGGAGGGAAGCTGTTGATCTGCAATAGTGCGTTGGGGCTGCTATTTTCTCTCCTGGCACCCCCGTCCCAGGGAAGCGTCCTCGGTGGGAGCGGACAGAGATAATGCCCCCTTGGCCACTCGTCCACGTCCTTAGCTCCTCACACCCCCCTCCAGCGCTGGCCACTGAGGCTGTTCTGCTATTCCTTTTAGATTTCCCAATTTGAAGTCTATATTTAGCCTTTCCTGCACTAGAACACGCACGGCAGTTAAATATGAAATCTAAGATGTCATCAATCAGCAGCCTAGGATTCCACATAAAATGCATCCAGAAACTTACTGAGAGCTGGCTGGCTGCGATGAGTCACCTCAGGGACCCCATCCCTTGCCACCACTCTTAATTCTTCAGATTAAGCAGGGAGAGCAGTGGGGAAGCTGGGTTCTTCGGAGGCAAACACCGGCCAGCTAGGGGATGCTCCTCTGCTGTTTCCACTTCTCCCCAGGCAGCCCCTGCTGCCTTTCTGTTTATTTTGCAATTAGCACTTGAAGGAGACTCTGGGGATAATTTTGTTTGGGGGCTGAGAGCTGATACTTCAGAAGAAGCTGATACTTCTTCCCCTTCTTAGAGCACCAGCTTCTGGAAGTAGGGTTTGAAAACAACAGCTCTCAGCATTCTTTCCAATAATACTCTTGATAATGAGCCTTGGTAATTTCATTATTCACAGACACCATCCTTCCCAAATTCAGCCTCCTGGTTCTCCTTGCTCTTCTCCAGTCTTCTGCTGTATAGCATCGCAACCACTCACTCCCATAATGCTCCCGACTCTGTCGTTACTCCCAGTTGTGCTGTCTGGACCATCTTGACTTCAAATGTCCCACACTCCTAACACCCAGCATGGTTCCCGTCCCACTCAGTCTTCTCTTTCCAATAATTCCTCAGCTTTAGTGGGGCCCACAACTGATTGATCCTGCCATCTTTTCACTGTTCCTCGCTCCCACCTGCCAGTCCTCCCTGCCCTCTGTACCCACTCAGTTGCTGCAGTCAGGGGCCTTCATCACTCCCATTAATACATAGTCAACTCCCTTGACCTCCTTTCCTTTGTTGTACCTGCCTGGCAAGGCCACAGTCCTGGCTGATCCTACCCTCTGCCCACTGTGTGCACCTGCCTGGCTGCGTGCAGCTGCCTGGTCTCACTCACAGTTCAGCCTCACTAGCTGCAGGTGGGTCCTGGCGCTTGGCTGGCACTCCTGTTTCATTTCCGGGCACGACTTATTCTCACGCTCTCCAAGACTGTGATTTCATATTTTCTCCCCGCTCAAACTCACAACACTTCCTCCACTATCCTCACCCTCACCTGATGACCTTGCTTCCAAATTCACTGAGATAGTAAAATAATTGGCTGCCAAGTTCCCATCTTCCCACCGCCACCCACACTCCCACGTCCGTCTGTGCCTACCCACTCTGCCTTCCCGCCTTGAACAGGGAATGAATTTCCCAAGTGCCTGTCAGCGATACTCAAAGCGTGGGCCTGAATCTTGACTGCATCAGCATCACCTGGAGGATGGTGACAAAATGCAGCTCGTCCAGCCCTACTCCAGACCCGCTGTATCAAAATGTCTGGGGGGAGCCAGATACGGTGGCTCATGCCTGTCATGCCAGCACTTTGGGAGGCCGAGGTGGGTGGATCATTGAGGTCAGGAGTTCAGCCTGACCAACGTGGTGAAACTGCATCTCTATTACAAATACAAAGATTAGCCTGGTGTGGTGGCATGCACTTATAATCCTATCTGCTTGGGAGGCTGAGACATGAGAATCACTTGAACCTGGGAAGCGAAGGTTGCAGTGAGCCAAGATTTTGCTACTGCATTCCAGCCTGGACAACAGAGCAGGACTCCGTCAAAAAATATGTATATATATATCTGAGATAGGGTCCCAGAATCTGTTTCACTGGGCCCTCCAAGGCATTCTTATGCATGGTACTGAGCTAGAGCCCTTTCTCTGACACCTACTCAAGGACATCCCTCCAGCAGTTGTCTCTTCTCTACAGGACCATTTCCATTATCATACAAACAAGCCAGAAACAGACCACCTCTCTAGACCCCAAGCTGCTTTAGCTACACCCCATTTCTCTACTTCCCTTTTTTCTCGTGAACTCCCTTCAATTAATCTTTGGTTTCCAGCCTCTTCCAAAAGGGCTCTTGCCAATGTCATTGTGAGAAAAACTGGCTAGATGGTCACCAAACCACTTCCTCTTCCAGGGCACACAACCAAATGACATTTCCCAGTTACTTTGCCTCTAAATGAGGCCTTGTGACTAGTTCTTGTCATGGGAACTCCAGTGGGGTCAACGTGCCAGCTTCAGGCTGAAGCACCAGAGCTCAGGTGGGCTTCCGTATGGGCCACCCCTTCCCTTTCCAAGGGGACCGTGGAGGTGTGCAATGAAGATGGAAAGAACCTGACCCCCAAATCACCAAGAATGCCACCTGCCATATATGTGATCGGACTGTGAGCTGAGCGAGATATAAGCTTTTTATTGTACTAAGTTATTGATTCAGTGGTTATTCATTAGAGAAATAAGACTGCCCTAATAAAGTCATCAGTGACCTCCAAATTTCTAAATCCAATTCTTAGTTATTATTGTGTGTGACCAAATAGCATTTGGCAAAGCTGATCAGTGGTTCTTTTTTGAGAAATTGTCTTCATATATTCTCTAGGCTTTTTTTTTTTTTTAAAGAAAAAGTTTTAAACTCAGTTTAGTATCCTTTGCTATATCCTCTTTGTGTAAGATTGCCCCAAGACTTAGTCCTTGGATCTCTTCTCTCTCAGAACTCACTCCTTTTTTTTTTAAAAAAATTATACTTTAACTTCTGGGGTACATGTGCAGATCGTGCAGGTTTGTTTCATAGGTATACACGTGCCATGGTGGTTTGCTGCATCCATCACCCCGTCATCTACATTAGTTATTTCTCCTAATGCTGTCCCTCCCCAATCCCCTTCCCCACTGCTATCCCTCCCTTAGTTCCCCACCCCGCAACAGGCCCCGGTGTATGATATTCCCCTCCCTGTGTCCATGTGTTCTCATTTTTAGCTCCCACTTATGAGTGCCACTCGTTTGTTAATATCGACCTCACCCTTGGCTCTGAATACCTTCTCTACAGTTATGATTCCCAAGCTTACATCTCTAGCCTGAACCCAAGACTTGCTTAATCCACAGCCTACTAGACATCTCCACTATTAGTGTGTAATAGCTACCTCAAACTGAACATATCCCAAACCATACCCAAAACTATAATCCTGATACCTTTCAACCTACTTCACCCATAACCTTCCTCTTCCCAGTAAATGTTAACTCTATCCTTCCAGCTGCTTCAGCAAAATAAACCGTAGACTAATCCTCGAGTCTCTCTCATTTCCCATATCCTGTTAATAAATTCTGCAGGTCAGACCCCAACAACATCCAGACCCACAGCTCATCCTTACGCTGCTGCTGTCATGGTCTGAGCCACTGTCCCCATCTGCTTGGGTTGTCCCCCTCTCCTCCTCACACTCTCCCTCCTCACGTTCTTTTCTGCCCTCTTTCTATCTTCAATCAAGCACCCAGCATGAGCTTCATACACAAAAATCAGATTGTCTCACTTTTCTATTCCAACCCTCCCCTCCACCGGTATTTTCCCAGATTACTCGGAATTAAAAGTCCCGAAGATGGCTCGCAGGCTCCCTATTGCCCCTCTGCCTGCATCTCTCTGGACTCTCCTTGGCTCAATCCATTCCTGTAATGCCCTCTTCTTTGCTGTTTGAATCCCGCTCCTGCCTGGAATATGCTGGCCCAGATAGTCATTGCTCACTCTCTCACTGCCTTCAAACCTCCGGTCAAATCTACCTTAACAGGATGGCCTTCCCTGATGTACACTCGTGCCCTACACTCCCTGTGCCTCTTAGCACTCATCACAACCTAGACAGTTACTTTTTAGGTTGTCTACTACCAGAATGTAAGGTGGGCAGCAGCCCTTGTTTATTATTCTGTCTTGTTTATTCTGTGTCTCCAGAACATAGAATAGTGTTAGGTACACAGTAGGTGCTCAATAAACATTTGTAGAACGAATGAAAGAACAAACAGCTGAAAGGGCCAGCTGCAGCCTCCTTGGCTTAGGTGAAGAAGCAAGTTTTTACAGTTATATTTTGCATGTGTGCTTCAATTCTGGTGGATCCAGAGTCCTTTCTTCCTCTTCTTGTGAATTTTGTCTCAAGGATCTTGTTGTCAAAGCCTCTTGTGTGGCCTCTTTGAGACTGTCCTGGGTGATTCACCCACCTTCTCAAAGAATTGTCCTTGCAGATACCCGGTGACGTCGTATGTGACTCTCCACCACAGGTTCTTGTTCATGAGGCTCCAGGACCCTGTTTTATATCACAGGGAGGGCTGATCCTCACCTGCTGAGGGCTGACCAGGGTCTCCAAGGGCAGCACTGGGTTTTCCTTTTGTAAAAGTGTAGAAAAGCAATCATGAAACCATCAGAAGACAGGATGGAGGTTTGGAGGCCTGTCTAGTCATAGGATTCTGGAGGAGGGATGAGCACGCTGGCCAGGCCGCTGGAGAGGTGCTGCTTCCTGGTGCCCCCTCCTCTCCAGCACTGTCTCTGGGAAAGGTTGTTGGAACCAGAAAACACACAGCCTTGGTTGATGAAAAGCCTGTTTATTCCTAGTACACTGGACACTTTGTTCAGGAATAGTTCATCCATTTGAAAATATTGCCCTTGTAATGGTGCCAAGGTCATTGCCTGCTGGGGTTATCAGCACTGTGCGTGCCAGCTCTGACTGGGTGTTTTAATAGGTGGATCATTTCCCTGCCAGAGGGACTACAGAACATTGAATAGTTAATTTGTATTCAGTGCTATCCCTGCATGCAGTCTTCATATTCAGTTTTTGTCAGAACTTTAAGAGAAAAAGAGAAAGAAAGGAATACGTAGGTTAGGATGCAATGAATTGCTTTAAAAAGGAATTTTAAGTGGCTCAGACTCACTTTGGAGTTTTCATACCTATCTGATAATAACAGTATATCTACCTTTGCAAAGCACTGGAGAGTTTGCCAACAAAAACAACAACTTTTGTATTCAGTCCCTCTTTTGATGCTCAGATCAATTCTGTAAAGTAAGGTTGTGTGGTCCCCTATTTTAGGTGAGAAAATTGAGGTACAGGGAAATTAAATGGCTTTTGTCAATAAGGTCAAAGAATTAACACAGCAGAACTAGCATTGTGACCCAAGTCTCTTAATGCCCAGGTTTGACTGTGTTCATCCCATCATGGTAAGCTGGGCGGGTGTAGAGGGGAAGGGTCTAGCTGGGTTTGGACAGAGACACTTGAAGTGTCAAAGTGAATGTGAGTGAAGAAAAACTTTGTTATTAGCTATAGCCCTCTGTCAGCCAACACACAGTAATAAACACAGTTGCTCACCCTGAAAATGGTGTGAAGCCCCTACCTGCCAAGCGGATGATGAGTATTCACTCAAGTGTGGCCGGGCCTGGGGGACAAGCATCCCATGCAGCAGCCCCTTGGCACTGTGGGAAAATCTCCACTCTGGGCTTTGAGGGACCAGAGTTGTGGCGCCAGTTCCACAGTATATAGGTCCATCGTGTGACTTTCAGCAAATAAGATCTGTAATCTGTAAAAACAGATTTGATCACATCTGTTCACCCGCCTGGTATACACAGCCAAGTTTTATTGCAACGTACCAGTGGCTGAATTAAGAAATAAAAAGCTCACCCATCAAGTTTGTGAATGCCATGAAGCTAGAGAGAGTAGCTCATAATGACAAATGACAGATAAGTTTTCTAGAAGACCTCGAGGCTGGTAGGAACATTTAGGTGAAACTAATACAGCATTGTATTTAGGGTTTAACAAAAATTGCACGAGTGACAGCATTTGTTCTTGATGCACATCTTGTTCACTTGCTGAAAGGATTTGGGAGAGGGAATACACAGGTTTGGGCTCGAGAAGATTTAGGAGTTTAAATTGACTCCTAAAGTCAATATGAATGGGGATTGACAAAGAAGTTAGCACAACTGTGGGCTCCCTCAATGCAAGTGTAGAATCTAGGACAAGGAGCCACGCTGGGCTTGCATGCGCGGCCAGGTGACCACTGGGTTCTGTAAGCATGCGCTTAAGAAAGTTATTGACAAACTGGAGCTAGCGTAAATGATTGGGAAATCATGGTCTATGTCAGGGGGTTTATGGCCTATAAGGAGCACATTTCATGGGCTGACACGATGGTGGTTTGCACAGAAATAAATGGTGAGGAGGATGAGGAAGTATGTAATCCATGTGGGTGTCTGCAGGGCCAAAGCTAAATCGGTGAATGAAACTAAAGGGAGGCAGAGTTTACCTGTAAAAATGGAAGCAGGAGGCCTTGCCAGGTGGCGAGCTTCTTCTCATCAGAGAGGCACCCTGACCTCCTTGTGGGGACTGGCACAGAGGTTCCCGCAACATGTGGGATTGGAGCTCTTGACTGGCAGCAGCAATCTAGGAAATGGAACGAGTGAGGTGAAAACTGGAAACGCTCTGTAAATGTGAGATTGTACTGTTAGGCGCTGAGGAGGAAGGCCCTGAGCACTCCCTCCACTTAGACTGTCCACTGTTCCCAGGTAGGGCGTGAAGGATCTGTTGTACTCACTCCTCACTGTCCACAGTCTGTCCCTAAGCTCTGCCTGTCCCTTTGCCTATGCCTGCACACAGACACACATTTGCTAACAGGTGTTTGCTTGTTTCTTTTAGACAAGGTCTCGCTCTGTTGCCCAGGCTGGAGTGTTCCCATGTAGCTGGGACTAAAGGCAGCTAATTATTTCATTTTTTTTTTTTTTTGTAAAGATGGTGTTTCACCATATTGCCCAGGCTGGTCTGGAACTCCTGGGTTCAAGCAATCCTCCCACCTCAGTCTCCCAAAATGTTGGGATTATAGGTGTGAGGCACCATGCCCAGCCTGCTGAGACTTTTGCATGTGTTCTGTTTCCACTACGCAACTTAGAACACTGAAGGACCAGAGACTTCCAGGGTGGAGAAGAAATCCAGAGGCCGCTCCTGAAAGGGGTCACCCTTGAATGTGAGTCTGTTCCAAGCAAATCAAGTGAGCTGGAAGGTCGGTGAGCTTGGATTTATTTGGTGTCTTCCTCCTCTCCCTTTTTAAAGGGAGCTGTAGAATTAAGGGTTGAGGTTTTTCTTTTTTCTTTTTCTTTTTGGAGGTTTTTTGGCTACCTAATTCATCAGCTGAACTAATCTGCAGAAAAGAAATTTATCTTCAAAACAGAGCTATTTCGATGCTTGAGTAACAAACTCTGTCTCAGCAGAAGCTATTGGCAAAACGAAGCTCACCTCCTAGGCTGACAGCTCTGTGCAAATGATGCCCAAAGTTTCAAGTGCCAAACCAGACTGGCTTTCAGCCAAGGGTATGTTCCTAATGGGTGTATTTGCATCTGGGGAGGAAAAGATCTGTGGCCACACAGCCATGCGGCTGTTCCTCATAACCCACAGTTGGTTTTCATCTGGGCTCCCTCCTCGCCCCTCGCATGTGCCGATGTCTCTGTGTCTAAAGCCATAGTTTACTCTTTTTCATCCTCATCCTTCAACCAGTCCTACCTTTTATGTGTCTGCTATCCAGACTTAAATCTATCTCCTCCTTTCCACCCCACCTATCCACTCAACTGAATAGCCACTACATGAGGCACTGTGCTAGGCTCTGAATCACAACGATCATTAGGGCATTTGGTCTTATTACTTCAGTCCTGGGTTATGCACCTGTGCCAGGAGGGGCAGCTGATTTTCCTGATTCCACTCCCAGACCTGCCACTCCTTCTTGTACACGAAACTCTTGCTCAGACACTGTCCTGTTCTTCCTGCAAGGTCCAGTGAAACCCTGTGTTTTCAGAGGCCTCTGCAGCATGCACCCATTGTGATTGTGCAGTCTTAGCTCCTTTTGGCCGTGTGGGAGGATAGTGGATTCTAGAAGGATCCCTGCCCAGCCACTTCCTGCCCACTGTGACCTTGAGCAAAATCTCTGGCTCCAAATGTCGTACGGGTGATGGTGAAGGGGTAGCAAGAAAATCTGAGGGGGTTTGTCAGGACTAGGAGCAGTAAGAAAACTTGAAAGAGCCTCCTGTCTTAAGAAGGCACTTGACTGCCTCTGATCAATTCAGGGAGGCTTCAACAGCTCTTAAGAGGATTAGGCCAAAGGGCTTCAGTGAAACTTTTGTGCTTTTGTTCCCCAGAGTGGAAACCCTTGACATGTGTTATACACAAACAACACTTCGGGTGGAACAAGAGGTTTACAATGATCTGTCTGGGACCCATAATACAATTCAGCATCTCTTTAGAGTTTCAGTCTATCAAACATTTTCAACTATTTCACTTAACCTTTATCATTATTGAAATGCTTGGGGGAAAAAAAAAAAAACTCCACATTTAAGATTTCCGAGGCAGAAGCATCACCAGCAGCCTCAAGAGCCATTCCAAAAGACATCGTCTCCAGGCTTGTTACCTCTTATCCTCCCTTCATTATGTTATAGAACTCTTCTTCTTAGAGAGATTGCCTAGAAAGAGGTAAAGATTAATAGACATCGTCCGCCCCATTTGCAGCCGAGGAAATGAGACTCAGAGTGGCAAAGTGACTTTTTCAGAATCACAGCAGTAAATGGTAGCATTAAGAAGCTAAGCCTGATCATCTTGCTCTTGTCCTGCTGAGGAGAAAGTGAGAGCAAAGCGGGGAATAAAACCCAGCTCATCCCCCTGTTCCTCCTGCCCAACCCGTGCCAAGACTTCAGGTAACAGAAGAAAGAGAACACTGGGTAGGGACATGCTAGGACCGGAATAGCTGTGTGTGTCCTGCAGACCACGAGTGTGGAGTCCATGGCCGTGTGAAGGGGGTGGGGTCCCAGTCCTAAAAGCAGGATCATGGAAGTTACCTTGGAGGACCAGACGAGGAAGCCTGTGGGTACCTTTCGGTGATGTGGATTTAGACGCTGGATTTGGCTGTGAAGTGGCTTTTGCTTTTTTAGTTGTTGGCATCTTTTTAATCACGCCCCAGCTTCCTGCTTGGGAACTTCCACTAATGCTGTCAGTTCATGGACTTGTAGAGGAGCTGAATCTACCCTGAGCTCAGGAGCAGGAAGGTGACCTGGGCCTGAGCTAATGAATCCATCAAATTTACTTTGGCAAAGTGATTGCCTCAGGAGTGGGCGGTGACCCAATTAGAGCCAATAGGACTTTTCCCAGGTGTCCTGAAACAAAGACACTCTTTTTCTCCGGGATGTGGACCTGAGACGGTGTCGTTCTGGGAGTTGCTGACAACCATCTTTTGGTCATGAGCTGGTTTGAGACTGGCTTCACAAACAGGAAGTGGAACAGAGAAATGGAGATAAATTGGATCCTGATAAACTTTGTTTGGCTTGCATATGATGATTTTTCTCCCGAATTTTTCAGTTGTTTGAGTCAATATATTTTGTTTGTTTAACCCAATAGGGGTCATGTCTTCTCTCAATTGCAGGTGAATGGATCCTGTTGTATAAAGTAGAATTTTAAACAGTCTGCAGAGTGAAAGTCTGCCATACAGATTTCTTATTATGGAACTTCTATTGTATAGGATTGTGTTTAGAAAGGTCTTGCAAAAGGCTTCTGCTTCTGACTACACTGGAGTGACTGGTATCAGATGGCCCTCTTGTCAGAAACAACCATAAAAGCTATACTTCACCCAGCTTTTTGACAGCATGGAGATGTCAGGGCAGCTAGGACTGGAAGGGGTAGATAGAATCCCTGACAGAATAAAGTTCCAATAGAAAGCCCAGATTTTGTGGAAAGTGACAAGCTAATTAGAAAATTTATATGGAAAAGTAAAAGTCCAAGAACAGCAAATATCCTAAAAAAGAAAAACATTCTCTTAACACTACCAAATATGAAAACTTATTATCAGGCTACAGTAACTAAAACAGAATGATATTGTCTCAAGTATAGCCAAATAGATCATTGGAACAAAATTAAAAATCCAGACCCAGAAATATATAGTCATTTGTTTTCACAGGCATTTCAAAGGTGCCACTGGAAGAAAAAGTGAGCTTTTCAGTAAACAATGTGCTGAGTCAATTGGATATACATTTGAGAAAAAAATAAACTTGACCTCTACCTCACACTATACACAAAAATCACTTTCAGATTGATTATAGGCCTAAACGTGAAAGATAAACAGTAACGCTTCTAAAAGACAGCATTAAAGACTATCTTCATGGCCTTGTTCATTTTGGAATCTCTTCAAGAGTTTGGTACACGGTCAGTGTTTGATAATTTCCCCTACTCCGTAATTACATGAATTATGGAGTAGGGGAAATAAAGTGAGAGCAATGAATGGGAGGCTGTGAGAGCAGCAAGGATAGCAGTCATGGGATCAGGGAGAAAGGACATACTGCATCATTCTAGGGTAACTTTTAGTAAAAGATGCGTAATCCTTCCATCAAGGCAGGTGGAAGCCATGGCAGACTGGAGGAGCAGACCAGGAAGGCCCTAAGCCAGCCAGGCTCACAGAAAGTTAAACATTTATACTCTCCTGAGGAGTCTGGGCTTCTAGTTTATGTGACTTCATTCAAAATTTTTGTCTTTGTATTTCATAGATATTTTAGGAATTGGAATAACTATATAATTGTTATTAATCAATAACTTACATAGTTCACTTGTTAAATTTTGGTGTTGCTGCTTACAAAGTGCCACAACTGGCCGGGTCTGGTGGCTCATGCCTGTAATCCGAACACTTTGGGAGGCCGAGGTAGGAGGACTGCTTGATCCCAAGAGTTTGAGATGAGACTGGGCAACATGGTGAGATCCTGTCTCTTAAAAAAAAAAGTTTTTAAAAAATTAGCCAGGTGTGGTGGTGCATGCCTGTAGTCCCAGCTACTTGGGAGGCTAAAATGAGAGGATCCCTTGAGTTTGGGAGGTTGAGGCTGTAGCGGGCTATGATCATGCCATTGCGCTCCAACCTGGGTGACAGAGTGAGAGCCTGTCTCAAAACTAAAATAAAAAATAAAACATGTCTGTAGATTATTTCTTGCTTCTGCCATTGAGAGGTAGGTTTTTGTATCCTTTCCCTTCAATCTGGGCCTTAGTTCTTTGTTGACCTACTTTAGTGACCGGTTGGCCAATGGAATAAGGCAAAAATCACCCTAAATGTCTACAGTGTTAGGTTATGACAAGCAACACCACTCTACCTGGTTCTCTTGGGACACTTGCCTTTGCGCCCCAAGCTGTCATGTAAGAAGTCCAAGGTTGCCAAGCTTTGGGCAAGTCTCTGCCACAATGAAGGCCAGATGAGAGTTTTCTGGATAATAGGCCCAATTGAAGTGCCAGCCAACAGATACCATCAATTACCAGACACATGAGTAAGGCTGCTTCCAGATGACCCTGTCCCTCATGACTGGGTTGCTTCCGGCCTCCATATCTTGCCAACCAAGACTCTAGACATTACGAAGCCATAGCAAGCTGTCCCCACCTCACCTTTGCCAAATTTCCAACCCACAGAATCTGTGAACATAATACAATGATTATCTTTTACTGCTAAGTTCTGGAAGAGTTTGTTACACAGCAATAGATATTTGGACAATCAGTCATAATGTTCCTTCCTTCCTTCCTTCCTTCCTTCCTTCCTTCCTTCCTTCCTTCCTTCCTTCCTCTCTCCCTCTCTCCCTCTCTCCCTCTCTCCCTCCCTCTATCCCTCTCTTCCTCTTTCCCTGTCTCCCTCTCTCTTTCTCTCTTTCTTTCAAGACGGAGTCTCGCTCTGTCACCCAGGCTGGAGTGCAGTGGCCAGATCTCATCTCACTGCAACCTCCACCTCCCGGGTTCAAGCAATTCTCCTGCCTCAGCCTCCTGAGTAGCTGGGACTACAGGCATACACCACCATGCTCAGCTAATTTTTGTACTTTTAGTAGAGATGGGGTTTCACTATGTTGGCCAGGATGATCTTGATCTCCTGACCTCGTGATTTGCTTGCCTCGGCCCCCACAAAGTGTTGGGATTACAGGTGTGAGCCACCATGCCCAGCCAGTCATGATGTACTGTCATCAGAACACACAGTTTGCTGTAACTGCTGTTATCTTGAAAAAAACAGTTGCTTGTGTCTTATGTTTAAAATATACAATTATATAGTATCTAACAGTTTCTATTTAATAGTCAATGATATCAATTTCAGTGGCATCTACAGATTAAAAGCCCCAAATACAGATGTGTGAACATTAATACTGTGTGGTTTCTATAAACATGCTCATGAGACTGAGGGAGGAGTAAACATGTAGCATGTTTATACTCAGTTCTCAAGTAAGTGTCCTACATTTTGACTTGGGCTCAGAAGGTGTTTCTCGCCGTCTGATAGGAAGCCTGGTGAGGGAGGCTGACACTCCAGTTCACCAGAAAGTAGAACAGAAATGGCAGTGGGGAGCTGGTGTTGGAGGCAGGGAGGAGAACGACCCGGTAATCTGGTTGGAAGTGGCCAGTCTCTCTGTTTAGATAAAAGAAAACACCCAAACTAGACTTCAGAGTAAAAATGGCTCACGGGCTATACCTAAGGCTCCATGTAAAGCAATGTGTTGTTGAAAGCCTGTAAAAAAAGAATTGACGAAATCATCTGAAGCAAAGGCAAATAAAAATAGGGATTTGTATCTCTAAAATCAAACAAGGTTGAATTTAAGGCAAGAAGTATTGAGCAAGACAAAGCATGATATTTTGTAATGATAAAAGTGTAAACTACAATGAAACCCTAGCAGTTATAAATAGATATATGGTAAGTTATAATAGTGATAAATTCATAAAACATTAACTACAGAAATTCAAAGAGAAATAGAAAAATACTAATGGTAGAAGATTTTAATTCTTTTACCTGAGACTTTGACAGGTACAAAAAAAAAATAAGAATATTGAAGACTAAAATAATATAATTAAAAAGATAGATTTCATGAACATATATTCAAATGCTGTATCAGAGAATATATCTTCTTTAAAGTACTCGTGCAGTAATCACAAAAAGATTACTCTTATATTAGGTTGAAATAATACTTCACGAATTTGCAAAATGAAGAAATAGTGCAGGTAAAATTCTCAGACAGCATTTCCACAAAATGGAAATTAGGTTTTAAATAATTGTAAATCTAAAAACCTCATCATTTAGAGCATTTAAACTCTTCATTAACTCTTTGATCAAATAGGAAATTTAAAAGTATAGGAAATCTACAAAGTAACAGCAACGCATATAATCGAAATCTATGGGATACTGTTAAATCGATAAACAAGAAGGAAAATAAATGAAGTATACAGTTCTAGAAATTTAAAAGAACAACATAACTAAGGCAAACAGATGGAAAGAATACTAAAGGTAAAAGCTTAATTTTTGCATTATAAAATGGGAAAATGGTAATACTAAAAAAAGAGATCAATCCAATACTGGTTCTTTAGGGGAAAAATAATAAACTCTATAGATGTTAATTACTCTAATCAAGAAAATAGGGAGAAAGCACAAATATATGAAATTTTAGTAAATGAAGTGAAGGACTCATAAAAGGCTACTTTGCTTAACTATATGTAAATAATTGGCTAAATGGATGTTTTTCTAGGAAACATAAATTGCCAAAACTGGTCAGAACAGAAAGAAAATCTAAACAGACCAAGTAACATGGAGAAATTAGGAAATGTCATTGATAGTATTATTAATGACAACTAAATAGCAATAGGCTTGTATAGTTTATTAGGCAAATTCTATAAAACTTTTAAGGAACTGGTAATTTCAATGCTGCTTAAGCGGTTTCAGAACAAAGGAAGAAAATCAAAAGTGCACATTTTTCTTATGAAGCCAATATAATATGGATATTAAAACCCAACAAAATGGCAACAACAACAAAAAAAATTACAGCCCAATCTCACCTAATAAATATTGCTGTAAAAATATAGAATAAAAGA